TCTGAGTCATGAAGTTCTGATTTAGCTAGCCTCAGCCTGTTGCCGACACGCCCCCCCAAAAATGTGGGTTGGACTGCAACTGGGCACTCAGGTTGGAGCTGATGTGAGTTGTGGTTCGACACATCAGAAGAAAGGCTGCCCTATATCAGCTGTCTGGGTAGCCTTGAGTCCAGTTGTTCCTTCTGTCACCGTTTACTCCTCATATGTAATCTGGGAACAAGGAATATCAGCCTGCAGGGCTCTTGTGGTGATTACTGTTTTAAGGAATTTCATGAAGTGCCCTAAGTGCTCACAGAGCACCACATAAGTCTGAAGTATTCTGATTTACACAAGATTGCATTTTGACACTGCTGTGGTGCAGGAGCCATCTTCTTTGCATGAAAGAAGTCACCAGCAACACCAGTAGCAGTGTGCCAGTGGTTTTACTGGCTTCCCACTTTCTTCTGGACCCACTTCAGGGTGCTGACTTAAATCCACACACCTCATACTCTGCAGAGGCTCTTCATCTGCCTTTGCCAGATGACCTCAGGAAACTTCACCTGCCCCTGCTGTCCCCGGATACTGTGCAAAGCAAATTGAATTGAGCAGCCCAGAGCTGGAATGCTGTGCTTTATTCGGTACAGTTTTCCTAGTTTACAGGCAAGGCCGGAGGTCCCCATGGCTCGCTGAGGATAATAGGAGTTGTAGTCCAACTCAGCTGGCAGGCACCAGGTTGGGGAAAGCTAATGGAAGGACATGATGACAGGGTGCTTTCTGAGTCATTGCCTTTGGATTAATTTTTAGTTTTAACCACACTCAGTCTCCACGTTTTGTGTTTGTCAGTCCTGCTGAAGGAGAGGAAAGTTTGCCCAAATACCAGTATGGTGAGCATCTCCCTTGTAGAATAGATTTTTTTTAAAAAATTGTCTGTAGAAGTTTGTTGGAGGGACATGCTAGTTCTTAGTTCCTGTTTTCTTCTGTTTCAGACAAAGCGATTTAAATTAAATTATGCCACGTATGGAAAACAGCCTGATAATAGGTAAGATGAGATGTAAGAAATGGTCACCATTGTAATTATTTTTGTTTTTGGTAGGAAGGAGCAGCAGTTATGTTTAGTGTTTTCTCCATTATTTTTTTATGAAAAATTAATAACTGCTTCCAGTGAGCCAGGAAGAAGGCAATATGTAAATATAACAGTGACAATAATGTAGCAAAATAACAAATTAAATCATACGGAACGTACATACGTAGATCTATCTACGATAACTCTTTGGATCTGGCCTGATTTTTGTTCTTATGAGTTCTTTTTAACACGTAGTTCACAGATTGAACCCTTAAGCAACAAACCTGCTTTACTTTAAAATGTAATGGATGAAATCCTGTTGAGTGGGGTCCATCTGCGCAATGGCAGTGTTGGCATTAGTGCTGATTAAAGTCTTCCTTTTGCAGTTTTGGGATGCACATGACTTTATCCCATTGTGCATGAGCCACCACCATGACCACCCAAAACTACAGAAGGAAGGCTTTAATCAGAGACAGCCTGCCGCCACCAATATCATTTGTGTTGTACGAGGCAGAGCTGAGCAACAGGTCCCTCCAAGTGTACTAGGGTAGATTCCTTAATGAATGTGATGAGTCCTAACAAAAAACACTTGATATTTTAGTTTGGTTGATCATTATGATAGTTAATTTTCTTTCCCTTATTTTTTACCCTTAGCCCAGAATATTCACTCTTTGTTGGAGATCTTTCTCCTGATGTAGATGATGGAATGATATATGAATTCTTCGTAAAAGTATATCCATCGTGTAGGGGCGGCAAAGTAGTTGTGGACCAGACAGGTGTTTCCAGGTAAGTATCTTCCCCTTTACTTCTGCATCTGGTTTGGGAAAGGCCAGGAGGGTGTCCATGTGAATGTAAACATGTTTCTTAAGATGCCATGTGACTGTCATGGAGCCCCGAGGTATGGTTCCCTTCTTTTTGAAATGGAGGCATATGTGTAGGTGAGGAAAGCTGTTCTGTAAAATTCAGGTTTTTGACTGCATTTCCCATGATTCTGCCTCAAGGAATTCTCAGTAAATTATTGGAACTGGACTGCAAAAAAATCCCAAAGTCCTGTCCCTGATAAAGGTATATGTGGGTCCCAGATACTGGGGTATACTTGCACGATCCTTCACCATTGGCTATGCTGGCAAAAAGATAACAGGAGTTGCAGTCACATAGTACCTGGAGGGCCATAGTTTCCTACCCCTGCATCTAGGGAATCCCCAAAAGGAGGACAGATTCTGAGCTACTCACAATATCACCTGTTCTTTAGGACTCAGCCACATAGCTCAAGTCCGCAGGTCCTTCCTCTTTCTTTTCATAGAATCACTGTTAGATAAAATTTTGGAGCTAATCTTTGCATGCAGGAAATAAAGAATTTACACATCCCAAACAGGTGGTTGTTCAGCCTTTCCCTGCCAGTAAAGGAGAGCCCTCCAGTCCCATTAACAATTAATTCCAGTGTGGAACTGCTTTTACCATCCAGTACTTTTTCCTAAAGTTCAGGCATGTTTTGCCCTCCTTAAATTTAATTCATTAGATCCAGTTCAGTTTTCTGAAGCAACAAAGAGAAAGTCTTCACTCTCTTCTGTGGTGTGTGAGAATGCTCTTAATATAAAGATTATTATTAAAATTATTTTTTACATTTGGCTGTATAAGTTGGGGGGTGTTGGCAGGTGTCGTCATGATCCTGCTGTCTCTTAGAAGGGAATTTGCTCACCTTTATCTTTGTTGTCTTCTGCGCATTGTTTCTTACTGGCTGTTTGTCTTTTGACAGAGGCTATGGTTTTGTGAAATTCTCTGATGAATTGGAACAGAAAAGAGCACTAGTAGAGTGCCAAGGCGCCGTTGGTCTTGGTTCTAAACCAATACGTTTGAGTGTTGCTATACCAAAAGCGTAAGTATTGCTGCAACTGCGTGGTTTAGCAATTTGTGCTGGACTACAGTAGAGTAGGGTAGGGAACTCTCTAGGCTTGCGTAGAATCATAGAGCTAGAAGGGATTCCAGTGGTCGGCAAGTCCAGTCCCTTCCAAAGTGGAGAAATCCACAGCTGAAGCATCCAAGGTGGCCATCTAAAATCTCTTTTAGAACTCCAGTGAAGGAGAGTCGACCACCTTACAAGGCAACCCATTCCACTGTCAAACAGTTTTTGTTATCAAGAAGATCCTCCTAATATTTCAGCAAAATCTCATTTATCATTATTTGAATCCATTACTTTAGCTCCTATCATCTGGACCTGCAGAATGTATGTTTGGGTCATTTTCTACATGATGGCTCTTCAGATATTTGAAGATGGCTATTGTATTGTCTCTGTCCTCTCCAGGTGAAACACACCCAACCTCTCAATAAATCCTCATGTTCTTATTTTTAACCCTTTAGCCATCCTGCATACCTTCCCTAGGACACATTCTGCTTTGTCAACATCCTTCTTACTTGGTGTTACCCAGTAAGGATGAGGTTTGAGAAAGCAGAATAGAATGATATGATAGTTTCTCTAGATCTAAACACTATATTACTGTTCATGCAGTCAAATATTTGAGTTATTGTCTTCTTTTGCTGTCACGATTGGCTCTTGTTTCGCCTGTAGTCTACCAAGACCCTTGTTGTTGGGCTACAAAGAACCATGTTGTTGTTGTTTTGTTAATGTTTTTGATGTTTTGACTGGTTTAATGCTCTGTAGTGCTAGAGCACTCTCTGAGTGGTTGACAACATAATTATGTAGATAACATTTTGCTTCCCAACCAGCCGGGTACCCATTTTACTGACCTTGAAAGGATGGAAGGCTGAGTCAACCTTGAGCTGGCTACCTGAATCTGTCAGATCAAACTCAGGTTGTGAGCAGGGGCTCGACCACAGTTCTGCAGTTTAACCACTCTACAACTGCCAAGCTAGGAATCGCATATCTTACCTTTTGCATCTGCTTTTTCCTGTTCAAATGTAGAATTTCACATTTTTCCCTTTTGAGTGACATTTGGTTTGGTTTGATTCACTTGTCCCCTGATTCTGTCTTCGGAGGTATTGGCTACCCTTCTCAGTTTGGAGTTATCTGCAGATTGGATGAGCATCACCTTCAAGACCTTATTCAAATTATTTACAAAGATGGTGACGGCCATTGAGCCCTGGGCAGAATCCTGTGGCACTTCACTTGTCATTTCTACCAAGATGACAAGACGTCATCAGTGAACACTGTTTCAGTGCAGTCTGTCAGCCAGCTATAAACCTACATGGTCCATTCATTGTGGATTCCCTTCTCTCTGAGTATTTTGGACCACAGGTTGGACACACTGTTTCTACCCTAAATTCCAGAGTGCTTGTTATACTATTCTTAGCTTTCAGTTTTCTCACTATAACAAATCCCAAGACAATGTGCTCACTTCCATCCAAAGCTTCCTCTCGTTGCCCCTTGTTGACCAGTTCTTCCTAGTCATAGTGAGGACCACATCCAAAGCTTATCTGCTTGCTACTACTTCTACCATCTAGAAAAGGAAGTTGTAAGCGAGGCAACAGAGGACTTCATTGGACCTTACAGTCTTAACAGATTGAACTTCAAACAGCTATCAAAGTAACTGACATCTGCCATGATTAGTGGTTCTCCTCTTGGAACCTTTGGTAACCTGAGTCTGATTAGTAGGTCTACAAAAGATCCCAATGGTGTTATTGCTGTTTAACTTTTCTTTGATTTTTATCCAAGAACTCTCCATCAGCATTTTGTGTCCCAAATCACTGAACTCCTCACAGTTCTATACATCCTTTATATACTTTGCTACTCCTCACCCCTAACTGGTTGATTTATTGCTGTTGAATAGTTATAAACTTCAATCACTACTTCCATTCATGCCTCAGTTATTGACAGATGGAGGACTCCCTCTGGAAAGGAAGAAAGTCTTGATTCCACCTGCATTGGACACTAAGCTCTACCATTAAATCCTAGCTTACATTTCTCCCTTGAATATTTTGGAGTTGTTGTAATTTTATGTCCCCCCTCCCTCATGTTCTTTCCCCATAGTAACCGGTTGAAGACGGTCGAGTACAATCAGATGTACAACTATAACTACAACCAGTACTACCAGCAGTATCAGAACTACTATGCCCACTGGGGGTATGATCAAAACACAGGCAGTTACAGTTATAGCTACCCGCAATATGGCTACACGCAAAGTACCATGCAGGTAAGGGCAGAAAATAAATCTGAAGGTTTGCTAATTTACTATGAAAAGGTCCTTTAAGTTGCAAGTCATAACAAACTTTCTTGGAACTATTCCTATAAGATGCAGTGAGACTTTTGAGTAAGTATGTACAGAATTACACTGAAGGTGCTTTTGAATGAGAAAATAACTTTATTTGCTTTATTTTATCTTTTTACCATGCCTGTTCTTCAGACATACAAAGAAGACAGCTTACAAACCATTTTAATAGTAAATATTAAAGCAACTAAACATGCAATTAAGATGATTAATGCTTGCTGCCATAAAGAACCTCTCAAACAAATCCAAAACCAATGGAAAAAGTTAAGAACAAAAGGGCCCTCGTTTAGCTACATGGAGGAAGCCAAACTTTTCAAGGAAACACACCTATTCTGTAGTAGCAGTGGTAAAGAAGTCTCCCAGTTGCTTCATAACTTGTATTTTTTACTCTTGCAGACATATGAAGAAGTTGGTGAAGATGCATTAGAAGGTAATTATTCTCATTATAATCCTGAATTTGCGTTCATGCAGATCCTGATGTACCCAAAGCTAAAGATGTTCAGGAAGTTGTGAAAGCCAGGAGAAAAAACCTGGGCAGCTTTTGGATCTGTGGAGTATGAGATCTGATGGTGGACTTTTTACTCTGATCCTGGATTTTGGTCCAGTGGCTTACTACAATAGCATACATTAACACTTCAGGTACAGTGGTACCTTGCAAGACGACGACCCCGCTAAACGACGTATCTGCATAACTGACTTTTTGCAATCGCTATAGCAATTCACAAAACAGTCATTCCAATGGGGGATTTTCGCTGGACGTCGATTAGGTCCATGCTTCGCGAACCATTTGTTCGCAAGATGACGATTTTTTCAGCTGATTGTCGGCTTCGCAAAATGGCTGCCCTGTGTTTTCCAGACCCATGCTTCACAGGGCAGCCATTTTTACAGCTGATCGGCACTCGCAAAATGGCTTCCCTATGGGCGATCTTCACTGGACAACGAGGTATTTCCCCCATTGGAACGTATTAAATCGGGTTTCAATACATTCCAATGGGGAAAGGGTTTCGCATTACGATGATTTCGCTAAACGGCTATTTCAATGGGACGGATTATCGTCGTCATCCGGGGCACCACTGTATACTAGAAGTGCCTAAGGGAAAAGTATTTCTGCAGATAGAATCTCTATTTAACTCATTTTTATTTATATCTCATGTTCTTGCCAGAGATCTTAGGTGGCTCACAACTGAGCGAAATGCATGTAATGCGGTTTACAGGCTTAAATGCATTTCTTAAGTAGTTTCACAAAAGAGTTTTTATTGCTGTTTTGTCAGAACATTGAAAAAATGCTTCATATGAATATGACTATTGAACTGGCTTGAACAATCATAACTCAGCATACCTAATTAGAAAGTGAAAGTGAACAAGCATTTCAGCTATAATTCCACCCCCTTCACATTAAACTATGAAGTCTCTATTAACCATATTTTCGAGTTTCATCAGTCCACAAAAATCAGATGACCAATTCAGAGGAAGCAAGGTTTCTAATGCATAATTTTAGGTTGGCTTACAGTGTTAACCCTTGTCCGTGGTAAGCATAGCATCCTAGTTTGCAATTACAGGACACTTGTAATTAGAAACAACTTGATTGGATCATAGGTTCTGTAAAGGGGATGCTTACACAGAACAGAATATGCTTGTTGAATACGATGTTTTTGTCCAAGCCAGCTTTTGTTTCATTTGAAGTGTTCATATTGTTATAACCAGAGACTCACTCATGTAGGCTTCTGTTTATTGACAGACCCAATGCCCCAGACGGACGTAGCCGAAGCAAACAAACAGTTCATGGAACAGAGTGAAGAACTCTACGACGCCTTGATAGAATGTCATTGGCAACCTTTGGACAGTGTATCTTCAGAGATTCAAGCCATGTAATTGCCTCATGGCTCCCACACCATCTCCAAGTGACATGCCAGTATGCCTGGAGCTGCCAAGCACACAAAAGCTGGAGCTGGAAGAAGGACTGCGCCACTCCTTTCCTAGAGACTCCAACTCAAGATTCCAGAGGATGACTTGGGGCAATTCTTATCTGCACTGAGCAGCAGAGGAGTGTGGTGGTCACTTTTATTCATGATGAAATTAGAACTCAGATACTTAGTTTTTTCTTCTTTTTCTTTTTTGACCTTGAGACAGACTTATTAATCCTTGACAAGGAGTTGTAATTTATAAACTTAAAGAAAAAAAAAGGTGTGGTGGAAAAACTTTTACTTCTGTGTATATATAATTAAAAATATCTTTTACATAGGAGGCATGATTTCTGATGTTCTCCTCTGTAGTAAAAATGGGAGAAAGAATCACCAGTACTGATGTATAGAGACATGCTGATACCATTATTGTTTTCTAAGGCAATCTTGTCCAAAACTAAACTTTTGAGGAAACAAACAATTTTACTGGGGTGTGGGTGGGGTTTGCATAAATCATCTATTCATTCTCAAAGTACATACAAAATTCTTTTTGGTCAAGAAGTCCCTTCTAGTATTTTTTTTTTTTTGACAAAATCTCATTTACATTAAGTCATATCTATTACTTAGTGGATAATGTCAAGACCTACACAATGCATATCTGGGCTGTTTTCCACATGACAGCCCTTCAGATATTTGAAAACGGCTATCATATTGTGTCGCAGTCATTTTTTCTCCAGGTGAAACACACCTAGGCTTCTCAACCATTCCTCGTGCATATTTTTGAAGCCTTTTACCATGCAGTATTATCTCCCTCTGGACACATTCTGCTTTGTCAATATCCTTAAACCATGGTACCAAGAGTGAGGTTTGAAAAAGCAAAATAGATGCTGGTCACGTGTTTACTCCCTTGCAGTTAACATCTCCAGTCTCTGAAACCATATTCTTTAAGCTACCATTCACAAAATGTGTTTAGGCTACAATTCCCAACCTTCCTAGAATAGGTGATTCTGTCTAAAACAGGAGTCTCCAAGCTATGGCTTACGGGCCATATCCAGCCCGCCTTGTCACCCACCCAGGCATAGGAAAAGGAGTGAAGCCCGGTCTAAGCAATCCCCCCCCCACTATCTTTGTAAAGACAGCGGGGGTGGGGGATCGCTTTGGCCCTAGAAAATGTGTAAAATACATGATGTGAAACCCCTGAAACGTTTGGAGACCCCTGGTAACAGACTGGGAACGTGGTGGTTTCAGAAAGGAGGTTCTCAGGTTTCTTGTGTCAACACATTTATCGTTTCATTGAGTCTGGTCCCCTGGCCCTGAAAAGTTACTTTTGGACTACAGTTTCCCTCAGTCGCCAAGCAAACATGGCAACACCAGCCCTGGATTGGGGACAGTTGTGGTGCAGAAGTCACTTTTCAAAGACACTCCCCCCCCAAATAAAAAGACATTAATGCGTTTCGCATGTGTTGGTTGAGGAGAGGACGCACCCCAGAAGGAGAGACAGCCTGCTGTTCATAAAGCAGGACGGGCCATTCCTCTCACAGGCGGGCTCCGACTTTAGAAACGAAGACGCCCGGAGCCCAAGAGCGCTGAAGCCTCTTTTAAAAGCGAGACCGCGCTGCCCCCAAAGGACGGCAGGCGAGGCAGAAACCGAAGCAGGCCAAGGCCGGCGGGCGCGCATTTTCGGCCCCCAACACGGAGGCGCCCTCTGGCGGCGGACGGGCGCCGCTTCAGTCCTCCTGGCGGGCGAGAAGGGCAGGGAAGCCCTTCCGGCTCCCGCGAGACAAAAGGTATAAGAGGGCACCCCCCTCCTTCTCTCACCATAGGCGAGGAATCTGTGCGGGAATTGTGGGGGTTGTAGTCCAAGAATCTCCCTACTTCTGGCCGCCCCGTTCCCCAGGAGGCGGCTAGAACTACATTTCCCAAGAGCCTCCGCCACACGCCGGTGGTAACTCTGCCAATCGGAAGCTCCGTGAGCACGACGTGGCTATAAAAGGCCGAGCGGGGGCGGGGTGCTCGTTCTTTTTCCCCGTCGCGCTCAAGGGTTGGGCGGAAGCTCGCGTCTAGGTAAGGGCGGCTGGCGGGGCGCTGGAGGGGGGGGGGTGC